AATGGCAGGAGATCAGATAGAGACAGACACAACCTGGTAATGAAAGGTCATGGTTTTTATATTTAATTTCATTGTTACTGCACCATACACATTATAGGATTTTATGAATGAGGACCATATGATCTGTCCTGCGTTTTCAGAATATTGTAACTTCTCAATAAATAGAATACTTGCCAACTAAAATAAGTCCAGGTCCCAAAGAATTCACTGCTGAATTCTATAAACACATCAAGGAACATCTTACGACAATACTCTGAAATTGTTTTATTAAAAAAAGTTTAATAAAAAGAGTTGCAGGGGTACTCTGAATGTCATTCTTGGAAGCTTGGATTATCCTGACTTCAAAACCAGACAAGGATCGAACCAAAAAAGAGAACTACAGGCCAACCTCTTTAAAGAAAATAGACACAAAAATTCAACAAGATATGATGTATTGGCAAAAAAAAAAAGTGTAACTAACAATCATAAACTGAAGCTTTCCCTATAAAATCAGAAACAAGATAAGGATACTATCACTACTTCTATTCATTGCAGTACTTGAAATATTTTCCAGAACAATAAGGTAAGATAACAAAATAAACATAAATGTAGGTAAGGTGAGGAAGAAATAAAATTATCTACAGACAAGATGATCCACTATATAAAAGACACAAAAAAACTTTACCCAAAGACTCTTAGAATTAATCAAATTTAACAATGTAGCAGAATGAATAATCAACATAAAATAAATGTTCCCCATATTAATATTGAATTCACTGAGAAATAAATTAGAAAAACTGTATCATATATAATAGTGTCAAGAAAATATAAACTTAAGAATTAATTTAAGGAAGTAAAAACCCTCTACAACAAAAATTACAGTATTCTGAAAAATGATATTTAAGAGGACATCAGAAAATGAAAACATATCCCCTGTTCCTATAGCTAGAACCAAAATAATCAAAATGACTATATTTTCAAAACTGATATACAGATTTAAACATTCCCAGTGTAATTTCAAGAACATTTCTCACAGACTAGATAAAACAATGCTAAAATTTAATTGAAATCAGAAGAGACCTAGAATAGCAATAGCATTCCTAGATAAGAAGAGCAAAGCAGGAAGGTGTCACAATCCCAGATTTCAAGTTACATTGCAAAGCTATCGTGATTAAAAAGAGCATGAATCTGATGCTGGCAAAAAGAGGAAAGTGGTGGGAAGGAGGAGAAATTTAGATGTGTTGCATACATATACCAATATCCTACGATGAATGTAATGTGCACCACAAACATGTACTAAGCATATTTTTTAAAGAGCGGCATGATACCGAGAGAAAAACAGACATGTGGATCAGTGGAGCAGAGTAAAGGATGCAGAAAAAACTCTAGGAACATTCACCTTCTGCACAGCTAAGATAAGGAAAAGAAACACCTCGAAGAATGAGAAGATTTTGGCAGCTATTCCTCAGAGAGAGAACTAATATCTAGAAAACATAACTCAAAAAAATTAGACCCTCTTCAAACAAAAGATCCAGTTAAAAAATGGACAACTGAAATGAATAGACACTCTGCAGAAGAAGTTGAAATGGCCAATAAGTACATGAAAAAGTTCAACATCTCTAGCCATTAAAGAAATTGCAAATAAGTATTGCACTGAGATTCTGTCTTACTTCACAAAAAACAGTTTTCATCAAGAAATCACAGAATACCAAATGGGTTAGGCTATGAGGAAAAATATATGCTTTTCTATTGTTGGTGAGAGTGTAAACTAATACAATCAGTATGAATGTCCTGATTGGAGAGTCCTCAAAAAAAAAAAAAAAAAAAATAAATAAATAAATAAATAAAAGTAGAAATCCCATTTGGTATCTCCCAGAAGAGTTACACATCAAGTCACAGGGATAACTAAATATCCGTAATTATAGAAAATTTATAAGAGCTAAATTATGGAAGCAAATATATTGCATCTGTGAATGCATAAAAAAATTTGGTATTTGGACACAATGAAGTACTATTCTGATATAAAGGAGTATAAACTTCAGTTTTTTGTATGTTAATAGATATTCCTGGAGACCATAGTGTCAAGTGAAATCTATATATACAAGATTGAATGTTGCATGGTTTCTCTTACATGAGAAGCTTAGTGTATAAATAAGAGCAAGATAAAAATTAGATAATAGGAAATAGATCTTTTGCAAATGGCAAGGAAGCAAGAGATGGAAAGGAGAGGGAGGATAAGGGAAGGGAATGAAAAAGACATTAAAATGTGTTGTGTTTTGTACATGTACCAAATCCCCATAAGGAATGTAATCATTATGTATTACAAACATATCCTAATAGAAAATAACAACTGAAACAAAAAAGAAAGAAAAATACTGGCCCTTTGTGATGTTAATGAATTGCAAAGTGCAACAATGGAAATCAAGAGATCAGAAAGAGAAAATTGTGATTTGAGTTGGTGATAGTAGACATGGTAAGAAATGCCTGGTGAGTGCTGTGTTTTGGGGTTTGGGACAATGTGTGGATTTGATGTGGTAGATGGATTTGATGTGGTAGATGAGGCAAAATGATCCCTCTTTTTGACCTGATCCACTGGGTGGAAAGCGGTACTTGTCATTGAGATGAGGGGAGTACTGATATCAATTCAAAGAGAGGTGCTCTGGAGTCCAGAGGTTTTGTTTTGTTTTTGTTTTTTTAGGCTTCACAATGAAATTTTGTCAAAAACTATTTGAATGTTTAAATAATGTACACTGGTTCTTGTTTTTTCCAATATACTTCTGTTAACCGAATATTCCTCTTATGAAATGATATAAAATCCAATGAGGAAAATATTAGTATATTTGATTGTACTTTATTAAAATATCAGTATAGTTGATTATACTTTATTAAAATGTAAATATCAATTACAAAATAACCTTTGAACTTTTCTTGATTCAGACTTTGTTATAGCTTCTTATCTTGCCTTTCTATTTTCACTAGTAGTTCATTCATTCATCCATACCACATCACTCACCTTAAAAATTTGTGTCAGCTTTGCTACAAGTCCTGCAAGTGTATTAGGGAGTTTGAGTAGATCACTGTTCCTTTAGTACAAGCTCTATAGTGAAAATTATTAAAGTAGATAATTAAAGTCATATAGGTGCATTTGTTCCATAAGCAAAGAAACTAGAGAACTCCAGAAGAAATATTATTAATATTTGTACTGTTTTGTATTGAAAAACTGTTGAACTTAATGTTTTAAGGAACTTTAGGAAGGAAATTAAAAAAGAAGAAAGCTAAATTTCATATAGCTTAGTTAAACAGAAATACCTGGATTGAGTAGTTAGTGAAAATGTCTTTAAGTTTTTATGATCTATGATGTTGCCAAATATGAATGATTCTCTAGTCCACTGGAAATTTAGTTACCAAAATATGAGAAACTCAGTGGCTTAATTTGATCTGCTAATTATGAGCAGAATATATATTTCAGCTGCTGTGCATTGTGAGATTCTAGTATGTACTGGTATTTTATAAAATTAAATTGTATGGTTCATTGTATTGTTCCATCAGATTTTGATATCCTCATTTTAAATATTTATGGGAAGAAATGATCACTTCATAATGCCACAAACTCACAGCAGGCTAAACTAATTTTATAGAATATGAAAACAGATTTTATTTATTTAAAAGAAATATTTAAAAAACACAACAACAACTCTTTTGACAACAGCTGCTGGGAAATAAATAGAATACTTTATGTCAAAAAAATGTAAGTCTATAAAAGCTATTCCTGGAAGACCAAGTTGAGAATTGTAAAGATACATTTAGTTGTCCTGGTCAATGCTGTAAGCCTTATTTTGAGTAGAAAGGACCTCCTTTTCTTGTTTATTGTCTATATAGGAAGGAATCCTCGTGAAAATTAGCTTATAAAATAATCCTTACACTTATGACATAATGTCAACTAAGTCCAAGCTGTGGTATCACTTTAAGGATCTTCTGTTAACCTAAATAATATTGATAGGTAAACAATAACTAGTGATCTTAAATTCAAATTAAAAAGATAATAATTGTAATAAGGTTCATCTTTGTTCAAATCAGACCTTGATTAGAAGTAATAAATAATATTTTGAAGTAAAAGAACAATTTTCCTTTTTCCTTGGCTTTAATAGTAGAAAGAGAAAATAAAGTGGAAATGTAATGAAAATTTATAAGACTTTATTAGATGGACATTTTTACAAAAATATGCTTTTTATATCACAAATGAAATATCTAAGTTTTCTGTTCAGTTGATAATAATTTCATATCTGATGCAATCAGATACTGGTTTCAGAAAAGAACAGGACCCATCCCGTGACTGGGTCTGTGAAATCTTAGGAACATGAGGGCCCGCGCATTCAGGCTGTGTGCGGTCTTCCTTCCTGAGCTTCAGGGAGGGAATGAGTGTGGAGACAGGAATTGGAGGTTGGACAAAAGAGAGAAAAGACAGTGGAGTCTAAAAGAATCAGGTATTTTTTACCTCCAAAGGAATGAAAACGTATTATGTTAGTAATATAAATATTGTTTATTGAATTTTCCCTTTTAAAAATGATTAATTAAAAAAAATCTGGCAGATAGTGGGAATGTAAATATAAGGCTAAGAGACTGACTCACCAGCAGAATTTTATTATTATCTCTGATAATGGCTGAATTTCAGTCTTCTTTGTGTACTATAAAATGGGTCAGATTAGTATACCTGTGATGTCATAGGTATCATTCAAAGAGCTCATCCCTGGGTTTTGTTATACTTTTTCTTATTAATAGGTTAGAAATTAAGAGTTAGAACATTTTAGTAAATTTTGTTGGTAATAATTTGGAGAGACCTCATGTTGGTGCTATTATTCTTTAACTTTTCTTGATATATATAATACAATGTAGCTGCAAGTTTAAATGTTCAAGAGATGTTACCAGACTCCATGAGGGTGGTGTGTTCAGTAACTGTCTGTATTTGTTAGAGGCAATAGCACATACAGAGATAATGAGTTTCCTTACCCTTAATGTTTCAGTGCAGTCTAATATGTGAATTAGCAAGCTTGCTTTGAGAATAATTGAAAGAGCATTGAGATTCCAATACTTACCAGGTGAGTTCAAAGTTCAAGTCTAAATGAATTCTAGTTGCTAGTTGTTAACCTTCTACAACTTTTTGTACTTCATTTTTCTTTTTAATCCATAAAATAGGATTAAATATTGTTTTGACATGCCATGAAAAAATAAGAAAGTTAAGGAAATGTATATATAAAATGTTCATTTATTCCAGTTAATAAATATTGTACAATATTTGTTTCTTAAAATAGTGTTACAATTTAAGGGTTACTGTGCATATGCAATATAATATGTGTAACAATGAATCCATTTCTACTGAATGTTTTGCTTTAACACACTCAGAATGATAATGTAAAGATTTAAACAAAAATGATGGTGTACCAATGTTAGTATCAAGAGAACCTGAGTTACACTGAAATGTTATTTTAGTTAGTGGGTGCATATAGACCAAACTATTTTTAGGTATTGAAATGAAATTTTTGTTAATGTTTTGAATATGAACTGCAGTGTAAATTGCTCTCTTACATGAAAAAGAAAGCTTGGCACTTAGCAGTTAATAAATAGTAGGACCTGTTGTAAACCCAAATATCAAGATTTCAGTCACCCAAGTATTGTAATCCTTTTTCTAGTTTTCCTCACAATCCAAAAGGTTATATTTGTAATCCCATCAATACGGCCTTGGAATCCCAGCAAGTTAATTCCAATCCACCACCACCAATGCAACCCACGGTGAGAATAAAAACACCAAGACATATTCCAAGTTAAGGGCAGCCAAGGGGTCCTAACTCCAATCCCTTGAGGATGTGTGGACAAAGGCCTGGATCCTTCTTGTGAAGAAAGGCGGGGTGGCTCAGTGATGAGTGATAGTGAGGATGTAGGGGATTACTGAGTAACTTGAGCTGGCTGGCCAGGTGCAAGAATATCATCTCTGTAATTTCGGAGATAAAGATATGCAGAACAATCAAGTCACATAATCCAATTAAGGTAGCAGTAGAATTGTTTTGAGGAGTTATCTTTGGTTTCTGATATGCAAACTCTGGTGCTCTGGAGAGTCATAGCATCTTATCTTGAGGCTCCTACCCAGCTGACATTCCCAGAGCTATTTGCTCTAATATCTGGAGTGCTCAGTGCTGTATTGTAGAGAACACTATGCAAGGAAACAGGACTGTCTGATGGCTATAGATTTCACATATTAGCACCTCGGCCAGCCTTATTTGCAATGCTCAGAACCAACTGAGGAGAGAAAGAAATGGCCAGCCTTTTATATATCAGTATAAGGAAATGAGTCTCCAAGTAACCAAAGTCACAGTAATTATTTTGGATTCAAAGGGAGTCACTGGAGATGTCTTCCACAAGGACCTATACCCACCAAATCTTTAAGCCTTTGGATAAGGCATTCATCAACTCTGAATTGTGAAAAGTGCTTATAAAGAAAGCTTTGTAATCAACTTATATAAAATGTAGCAGAGCAGCTTATGATTTAAAAGCATCCTGAACCCTTTTATGTGAATAATCACCCCTTTAATTTATCTGTTTGATAAGTTCACAGTTTGGCCTGTGAACTTTTTTTTTTTTTTTTTTTTACTTTTTTTTTTAACTTTTATCGGTACCAGGGATCAAATGCACAACCGCCTGCTTGCAAGGCAGGTACTTATGCCACTGAGCTAAATCCCCAGCCTGTTAGTGTGGGTTCTTAAAGTGTGAGTGCGCCTGCACACTTACTTTTACAAGGTGGGCGATACTTTCATGCTGGGCTGTCACAGTAATACAGTATGCCTCTTAGATTCGGAATAGCATAGGCCAGGTAACTACTGAAATCCACAAGGCACCTGTAGTCAGGGAGAACATTAATTGTACATTATGATGCCTACATTTTTAATGAGCTTGCACATCATATGGATCAACCCAAAGTACAGCGAGGATCACTGACATAGGAGGATTACCTGAACTGAAAAGTTAGTAATAATGATGCACTATAGAGATCTTTCATGAAAAAATAAACAGTCTGTAGTTGCTTAGTACAACAATGGATTGGGAACTGTGAAGCACTGACTAAGACCTTCCACTTGCTAGCTGCATGGCATGGGGTAGGGTGTCACTTACTCTGTCTGTGTCTTTGTGTCCTAACTAAAATATTCATGTTAAATTTTTATGTCTGGTGTAATGCCTAGCTAAAAATTTTTAATAATCTGATTCATAAAATGAGGTAAAACTATTAAGTTTCATTCTCTCCAATGTAAATATTAGAACAGGAAATCATAGAAAAAACACTTGTGCATATTTAGGTTTGCTTATCCCAATCAACACTTTTTGTGACTCTGCCTTAACCTTTTTTGGTAAATATGAAAATTTATAAAATATTTTATTTAACTATGATGTAGAAATAAATATAAATGTGAACAAATTCAAAACAAAAGGGTCTTTTCTTCCATTAGCTGGCAAACACTGACCTGTATTTGGAGAAATTTGAATATATTTGAGAGAAAGTGACCTCTCCTGCAAATTAATTATATCTAAGACTAAAATAATTATATCTTTTCATAGATTCTTTTTATTTTCACAGAATCTATGGGAATTTTGCCAGTACTTCAGAGTAATTTAAGCTCATTTGTGAGTTAGATGAAGTAAGCTTTCTATATTCGCTTGTGACTGTCCTCTGCAAGTTGAATGGAGAAGTAAATGTATCAGATATGTACCCTTACACTATTTGATAGTTCTCAAAGAGAGTTTTTTAAAATTTTAGTGACAACATAAGAACTTTGAGGCCACTTCGAATTTTCCCATCTTTTCATGATGGTTTTATTTTTCTTTTTACTTTTTTTGAGTTCTGGATAACACATTTATTTTTTAATGTTATTTTAAAGTGGGTAAAATTAAACAATAAAACAGAACAAAACAGATTATAAGAAAACAATGTAAGAGACATAGATTTCAAAGCAAGACAACTGGAGATTTTCACTGTATCACATTGTCTCTTGTTTTCTTCCAAATAGTTGTCCATATCTTCAAATACAATGAATTCATATAAAACAAAGTAGTATAAAACTGATCAGAACAGGATAATGAAAGCATTTTAGGTTTTCAAAACCAGACAATAGGCAAGTCAACAAGGGCTGCCATAATGTCTCTCATTCTCCTCAGAATAGCTGTCCATACCTTCATGTATGTTGAAATTAAACAAAACAAAACAGACTAAAATCACTCTGAACAAAGAATAATAGTATTGTTGGACTTCACATCATGATGCTATGGAATCAGCACTGGTTACCTTAGTGTCTCTTTTTCTTCAAAGTAGCTGTTCATTTCATCATGCATTATATAAGCAATTCTCATAAACTGTTTAGAAGTTCTGCACATGAGTCTGAGTCTCTACATGCATACCCATTCTCTCTGTATTAGAGGGAAAAACAAAACAAGACAAGACAAAACAAAACAAATTCCTAGAAAAACACAAAACAAAAAAGATACAAAAATAATAATAGCAAAGAGCCCAGAACACTGACAATATAAAACAAAACAAGGTGGTATGAGCGTAACTTGGGTTGTCATTTTATATAATGATCTTCGAGAGTTCCTCAGATCACCATACAGTAATATGCACAATTGTTCCAATCCTGTGAATGTTAACTGTTTTTTTCCAAGAACTTATAAAATTTGTAGCACAATCATCTTAGTTATACTGTGTATTTATATTTTTTCCTTTCCCTTTCTTTTTGTTTTTACTCATTTTCCCTGAGATATATTATTTCCCTGAGATTATTATTCTTTAAGCAGATTCTTATCCCTTTCACTGTGTTTATTGAGTTTTTTGTATCTTATGTACTCTTATCATTTCTTGACCACTCATTATGTTCAATGGAGCTAAATTTCATAAATGACTAGACTTACATCAAATGAGAATTTAATACACATATATCTACAGATCCATTCATTTTAAAAGGCTACTATTTAAGCCTTGAATCTCTTACTTGTCAAACTTTCAAGTTGATTTTTAAGAGGAACTGATAAACTTAATTCATCTAAGGAATAATGAAACTACAAGTTTAACCAAACTAGAAATACAGACAGAAATTAGTATTCCATAGTAGACTTAGGGATATCACTGTGAAACCTAAATATGCTGAAACCATCAAGTTTGCAGGCAGTGATAGGAAGATCACCACGATGCCTAGAGCAATGGCTAATGGCTGTCAGCGATTAGGAAGAATGTTTACATCTGGAGATAAAAAGCCGTTTCTGATTGTTAAATGTGTAGACCAAAAAATTAGTTTATCCCTCCTAATGAATAAAATATAATTGTAAAATTTTATCCTACATTAACAGAATAATTTCATGTCCTATTTTCTCTTACAAGTGTACCACTTGTAATTCTAACACTGTGGAATCTGGAGGATCAAGATTATCATTAATTCCAGGCTAGCCTCCATGACTACACAGTGAATTCTAGGCTAGACTGGCTCTTGTAGTGAGACCCTATTGCAAAAAGTAAAGAGAGTACCCAAGACAAGAAGTTACACAAAAGCAACTGTTATTAGAAATAACTAGAAGTCATTCACTGTACATCAGTCTTATCTTCAGACTATATTTATAGAAAAAATCTAATGAATGGATATTAAAAATTTATTATATTGTATCTTGTCTGGAACATGATATAAAAACTTCTATATGTGGTAAAGAATCAAGACATACTGAATACATACATAGCAAGTGCTCAACATTTGATGTCATAAGAAATATAAAAGATAAACACGTAAGAATTGTTGGGTATTTATTCTATTTCACAATAAGATTATCATTATCCTATTTAATGAAAAAATTATATATACATTCACAGTATATATGTATGTATATATTTGGGATAAACTTATAAGATTAAAATATATTTACAAAAATAGCTTAATTAATCTCATTTTATATGTTTTTCAATATGTTAGAAAATTTCTGCAGTTGTGTAATTTAGCTAGATACTTTTGGAAATCTTATAATATCTCTCTGGCTCTTATATTTGTAAAGCCTTACATGTGTAGCAGTAGTACTG